CTGTTGGCCCAAAGTATTTGGTTGCTAGCTGTCTTGTGGTTGAGTGTGACCAGGGATAAACTGGTTAATGTTGGATTTTGCTGAGGTTAGTGATGTGGCTGATGGATGATTTTATTTTATATCTACCTGCTAAACCTGGTTCTTTTTTTAGGAGAAACCCAAAGTTGTCACTCACAAAAGGTATTTGTCTCTCTCCTTCCAAAGCAAATTGAAAGCGCTCTGAAAAATTTCCATCCTGAATGTAACCATTCACAACTACAGGCCTGAAGCTGCAAAAACTGTTGTTCTTGCTTCAAAGTTAATTATTTTAAGGCATTTCACTTTCAAAAGTTGTTTGTTATGCTGGGGGTTGAACAATGTGAACCTCACATGATTGCAGAGCAGCTCTCACTCCTCTCCTGCCAACCAGGTTTTCAATAATCCCATTTTTCTTCTCAGTCCTCCCAGGTCTCAAGTGCTGTCAGTGCTGCCCAATTCCACATTTCACTGGTGAAGAGACAAGGCAGCACTGTTTCCTGCAACTGCATCTCTCTCCCTCTGCCTCTCCTTGGACTTGCCAACTGGGAAAAACAGGAATGCAGCTCCATCCTTCCCCAGTGAGCCTGTGGGACTCAGATTGTTATGAACACAATCATAGAATACCAGGTTAAAAGGGATTGCAAAGACCATCTAGTCCAACCTTTCTTGGTAAAAATAAGGTCTAGACATGGGCTAGTATACCATCCAGCTGAACATTAGTGTCCAAAACTGGAGAATCCACCATTTCTCTGGGGAGGTTATTCCAATGGCTGCTGTCCTCCTTGTAAAAAATGTCCTCTTGTGACCAACCAGAATCTTCCCAGGAATAACTTGTGCCCAGTTTCTTGAGATGGCCATTTCTTGAGACAGCCCTACTGGTAGACAGCCTCTGAGGTGATCTAAACCAGGACTCAGCTGGCCTATGAGATTCTGGAAACTACATCATGGGTTTGACTAAGTAAGAAGTCAAAGGTATTTTGTTTTGCTCTCATGCTTTATTCTCAAGTACATTCAAGATGGTGAGACACTTGGACATTGTGATGATACTGGAGTGCACTCAGCATTGTACTGCTCGAGCACTCTACAAACTCAATGTGGCCATCCACAGCTTACACTCTACTGAGGCTCTCCTGTTAACCTCATTTCCCTGATGGGAAACTGCGAGACAAAGATTCAGAACAAGAGCACCAAAGGTACTTGAGTAAAAGAGTAGCTTTCATCAGGGGTGGCTGGGGAATGCAAAAGGCAAAGTTATAGCGACACATGCTATGCATGTGAAGACAGGGAGAAACACGCCTCAGAGAGATGGACCCAAGCGGCCAAGCTGCCCAGTTGGTTCCTGTGGCTGTGGTGGAAGGATGGGGATTTACTGACCAGTGCTTTCCCCTCTGCACTCAGGTAGGTATACTGTCTCTGGGTACCAGGGGTTTTCTTTCTGGATGATGCTGCTTGAAACAGAAGAAAAAATGAAGATAAGCCAGTGGTGTGTTCTTTTCTGGAAGACCATGAAAAAGATTCTTTTGAGGAAAACCTCGGTGACCACTCTCCATATCTTGACACATTACTTAAGGCAATGGTGGTATTTTGGATTTGGCTGCAGGGGTCTTGCCCAAAACTGCACAAATCATTAGTAATGAAGGAAGCATCTGAAACCCAGGCATTCCAAACATTAGATTTGTGCCTTCATTATCAAAATAGTTCTCTTTCATCTGCTTGGACTCATATGTAGGTGAAACAGGCTTTCTAAATAATGTCACATTTGATCATCCTGATCTAGACCTTAAGTCTTGCTTGTTGCCTTTCTGTACCAAGAATGACCTGTGCCACCTCACCATCCTAATGAAGGGAGAATTTGTCTATGAAATGCAGGACGGCACAGAAGGGGGCAGGGCAGAACCTTAGAATAAAAGAACAAGAAATTCAAATTAGGCTGAAGAAGGGAAAAATTTCCAACAGAGAAATTAACAAGCTTGCTTAAGATAACAGGAGATACAGTAAACCAGTTCTTCAAGGACTGAGATAATTTCAATTTTCTTCACTTAAAATTCCAGCCTACAGTCTCTGATGAACTTCTTGTCAACACAGTATGGGCTTGACAGTGCTGCTCTTGTTTAGGGTTGTCTCCTCTTCTCATATAAATCCAGAGTAATTTGCAGTTCAGTACAGGGTTCAAAGCTCTGACATTATTGTTATTCTTTATCTTCTTTCAGTCCACATTGGTATACATTTCCTATTTTCTCTCAGAAACAAAGTTGAAGACCTGCTTCATTCGTTGCCTTTCAGAAAAAGAATCATAATTGTCTCATCACTAAGGTTATATGGAAAAAGTCACACAAGGGCATGCAAGTAATGGCCTTGTGGCCCCCTTAGTCAGCAGTGCTGGACCCACTCTTCATGAAAGATCATGAAAATGATCCAGACATTAACTAGAGTAGTACGCATGTGAAGGTCTCCAGATTGCACTCATGTTAAAGACAGGACACGGAATTTGCCACAGCAATTAACATGCAGTAACATTTCTGAATTGGTAGCAATGTTTGAACTTTCAGTGGTTAGCAGATAGACTAACAAACTGTGCTCGCTGCTTCACAAATTTACAATGTTTTACCCAGTATCTGAGGTCAAGATCCTAAAAAGACTGTGCTCTATGAAAAGGCACATACCTAGGAGTGATCTGCAGTTATCATTTCACTACCTCTGAACTGCACAAAGTAGTCTCAGTCTCATGAAAATCTTGTCAGGAAATCTTAATTGGAAAGGTGTAGACAACTAACAAGATAAATATTACACTTACATTTTATTGTAGGTTTCTAATACACACAACACAGTGAGACTCTAGTAAAACAGTGATCCCAGTATCTTTATCATATATTAACACATTTCCCATAATACTCCTGCTCACTCAACCTGCCTTTCTACTGAAGTAACTTCAATTAAAAACAAATCCCTTTAAATGACTACTCTAGGAGGTACAGATATATCTGTCATGATATTAAGAAGACCTGGATACAAAAGATAGGGCTTCATTTTCACATGAGCATGAAAGCAAAGCAGAATCAACACTGAACACTTGTTTGCTCAATGACTGACCTATGGCAGGAGGACCTGGGAACTTCCTACCTTCAGGAAGTTAATAAACCATCTGCTAAATAAAGGCCACCCTTAGTGAACTGAAAATCTACAGAATTCATTCTGAAAAGGTCCCACAAACAAAAATATTTTTTCTCCTCAGCCTCTCGTCTGTATAAGGTGCTTAAAAATACATGAACTTTAGAGAAAATACCTTCATTTACTGGTAAGTTGCTGAAATGATGCAGTCTTGAGGTATGCCCTTATTTGATTTTTTTTCCTTGAACCTCAGCTCTGAGTTTATCCAATTTACTCTTCAAAGTAGTTACCTTATTTATTGCTGAAGATGAAAACACTGAAAATACTGTGACAGAAATTAAGGACAAATATATGCTATGCTACTTAGTGAAAAAAAACCCCCACCTTCCTTGGGAGTCACTAATTATTTGTGATTGTTAATTTTTAGAGTTCAACTTAACAGGAACTGGCTGTCAGTTGTCTACTTTTAATTGTTTGAGAATTTCACAGGGTCACCAAGAAAACAGTGGAGTAAGTCTCTTTTTACTTTTGCCGGTAGACCTTAATGCCAACATGAAAGAGTAATTTCTGACACTTTTCTATCAATGTCTCTCATTATTTTGACACTGATAATGGTTAAGTTTGTACTGCCTCAAGGCAACAAGGAGCCATCTAGTAGTGTCAGGCCATCCCAGATAAACATACCAAAACACACAGACAGTGCTGGTAGAATGGTGATAAAGTTCTGTTGAAAAAAAAATCTAAACTCCACACGTAGCTTTAACTTGCAGACCTATAAATGCAATTCCTAACATGAGCATGACCATAAACAAGTATTACTGACTTGGTGCAAGAGGTAAGAAAGGTCAAGACAGTTCTGCTCTCTAGGGATCCAGATGGATGAAGGAGGGGGTTTGCACACTGCAGCCAGAGACAGCACAGGTGAGGCTGTGCCCCACTCCAGGCCAGGAGTTCAGGGCACAGGCAGCCAACACTGAGAGTAACAGCAAAGATGACAAAGGCTGCTTTACCTGCTCGAGTAGCACACGCCAAACAGCATCCCTACATTTGGTAAACTTCTAAGTCTACTAGCTCAGATACAACTATATGCCAGATACAACTATATGCCAGATACAACTATATACCACCACTACTTTGGTGAAACTCATCATAGAAGGTTTCTTCAAAGACAAATTACGCCAATTTTTTCATTCTTGGTAAGTGCAGAAGTGTACCTGAACACTGGCATTTAGCCTCCTCTCCCCAACTCTGCCAGACTTCTAAAGATGCCACGCTTAACCTCATCTACTTCACTTACTTCTGAAGCCAACATTTTTTTTTATTTAAGCAGTGTAAAATAGAAGGAATTTTTAGCAAAGAATACCTTGGTAAAGAAATTGTCCTTAACTAAAACTAAGCATCATCACATAAATATTAAGGAAAATACAGAACACCATAATCTAGTTCTTCTACAAAGTGTGTTTCTTGCTAGGTTCACACTGGGTGGGGTGGCAGACATCTTCATTTTCTACATTGATGAGAAACTATGCCCCAAACCACTGTGTTAAAGTTACAGTAAAGTAGTAGTTCTCTTTCTTATTTGCTCTGAACATAAAAATTGTAACAGTTATGCTACAAAAGTACAATATCCCCAAAATCATGTAGTTATTTTTGCGAAATTTATAGAACTGATGCATCCACAAACCCATATGCAAAAAGTGTATTGCATGTTGATGATATATAATGCATATTTCCTTCATTACAGTTACAAACAACAGCATATGCAATAAGAAACCGTTAAGCAAAATATACCCTGATAATCGGACGACCATGAAAGTTTAAGCCTCTTCAACAATTAACATCTTTCATAACACTGCTAGAAGCATTGATGAAAATTTAAGTGTGAAAAATGTACATTCTTTATTCTGCAGTTTAGATACAGAATAAAATTTAACTTTTCAGAAAATAAAACTATAGCTACAGCTTTGAGAGCTGTCAGTTTTCTTTTGAGGATAAAGTACATGCACTTTTTCCAGTTACTTTATTGCACATAATGTACAGTCATAAATGGTGTTTATTTACATGTGTTTTGGCAACGTCCATGTTTGCTTTTCCCCTCAGAATACATTATTTTGCACAAACAAAACCTTAAATGTTTCACACAAACTGCCATAATACAAGTCAAAGCATATATGTATATATATATCTCTTTATTGTTGCTGTATTTTCAATTAATTCTACTAAGAGTTTCAGATCTCGGTTAATCTTTGCCTTGGGAGGCAGACTCCTCCCAGTTAGTCTGTTGTCAAAGACGGACCCCCGAACTGCAGGCACCAAGAAATCAGGACTGCAGCCTGCTGTGCCTAAGCCCCAGCCCCTATGCACCACCTGCAATTAGTGCGCAGGCACAGAGAAGGAAGAGCGCTCTACTTTCATTAACCAGTTTGATTCAACATTGATTACCACGTGTTAATGCTATGGGTCATGTGTTATTTGGACAGTATTCCATTAACAGTGTTTTAGAGAAAAAGATATAAAACATATTAGAACAAAACAGAAATTCCAGGAACAGTTATGTACTTCCATGTACTTCCAGCCCTAGGAATGTGTTACTCAGATTCTACTCTGTACAATGTACTATTTCTGATAACTGGTATTTTTATCCATACACAAAGAACTCAGTTTCATATGTTTCCCCCAAGTTAATTTCTTAATGGATGGTAACACACTTCAATGTTTCCCTGCGTTTTCAGGGCAGAAAACCTTTTAGTGGTCCCCCTCATGTAGTACAATCTGGCAATAAACCTTTTGCTACATGTAGATTTTGGAAACACTTTTAAAAGATATATTCAAATAAAAGATCAGTATCGTCAGTATACTGAACATATGCTCGTTAAAAATATCTTAAAGATGTTCTTGAAGGCACTTTATAATATGCACAAAAATACTCTTGAAGAAACTAAATTTGTTGTACTTTGGTACAACATTTAAGATATGAACAGCATTGCTCAGATTTTACTTTGAAAGTCTAGATTATATTTTTGTTTATATTTTCACCTACAAAAAAATATTTCCTCTAAGATAAATCCCATTTTATTGGATGAAAGACCAATGATCTAATTGTCTTGAATGTATGATCTTTCAAACGTTAAGACAATTTAATCTCAGAATGGTAAGAAAGAAAAAGAAGCTAATTTCAGTGATTCAGCAATATTGAATAATATCCTCAAATTTGGTGATGAAAACAGTTCGTACCTCTCCTATAAGCAGGCAAAGTATAAAACAGTTAAATTTTCAGATAGGCACTCAGGTAAATTGAGAAATACCTTTAGCGGGCAACAATAATGAAGATATTATTTTGATTTTAAAGTTTTCCTATTTTTTTCTGCCCTTCAGCTCTAAAGTACTATGAAATTTACAGCAACTTTGACTACTGCATATACTGAAAAATGAGATGAAAACGCACTGTGGACAAAGTATAACAGCAGTTAACATCTATTGATAAAAACACAAAATAATAAAAATATTACAGAAAAGCAGTAGTTCTGGAAATAGAAGTATTCTTCAATAAAAAACATTAAAGTTTTGTTTCATCTGAATAGTTTCACCTATACTGGACAGAGTACTTCACCAAACTACATGTGTGCCTCTGATAAAATTCTTTAAGAATATAAATTATTTGCTCTGTAATGACACTTGTTCCATTATCCAGTCAAAAGGTCCTGATATTATCTGTTATAAATATCTAATATTCCTATTATCTGCCTGTGGCTGAGTTTTAGGATAGCAACATGATCTGTTAAATTAAAAGAGAAAATTCTGCACAAGTGAAACTATTCAAAATGAATTAGTATTTCATCTCTACCTAAAACTTTTGTAAAACAAAGAACTACATGCCATTAGAAAACTAACAAATGTCATCAAAGCTAGGCTATTTTTCTCCATAAAAATGCATAAAATTTTAATTACTAGCAATACTGTGAGAACTCTATTTATAGTTTTATGTTGCATGTATTTCAAGATAAATAGTTTGAAAAGTCATAAATTAAAGGAGGAATTTGAACAGATTCAGATTCCTCATCTGAATTTTTACTATCTACAGGAAAAAAATGGACTTTCAGAAAGAAAACTGTTGACATGTGAAAAGTTACCAACTTTTGTTGGTAACTGTTGAGGAGATCCCTCAACATTAACAGTAATTACTGCCCACTCAAGGTTACAAATCTACAACTACCTGGGAAATGTAAAGGAGCCTCAGACAGTGTAGCTCTAAGAAAGGGGAAGCATATCTGTAAAAATATTTGCATAGATGAACATTCAAAACAGCATTTTCACCATTTCAATTCCCTGCATTCATGTTGCTCCAGTCATCCACAGGGATAAAGATCACATAAAGGCAGCTCTGGAATTTGAAATGGATGTTGCTCGGTAATTTAGGGAAAGGTGTATTTTTGTACTTTCTGCAGTCACTAGGAAAAGATCCAGTCTGACCTTTGGCTTACAGAAGTTGTACTCCCCTGAGCTAGGCAATACTGACAGACTTGAGCAGAAGTACCAAAAATAAAGTTACTTGAAACAGCGTGGTATAAATAAGGCACTTTTGCCAAAGGAAACCCCCAGGTTTTGTGTTTCAATGTACAGCAATTCTATCCAGAAATATTTTGTGCTTAGAAACATCACGTGAGGCAACAGTGAATCAGGTGCCAAAACCAACACATCACAAATTACTGTGCGATTAACTGCAACCTCCGAATGGTTCAACAAAGAATCAAACTGGTTTCTGTACACCATCACGATTTACCAATACATTGGCATCTTTTGCTCTTTTGCTGTGAGCCAACAATAATTATTTTAGAGAAAGAAAAAGAAAGTGTGGAATTAGTAATGCAGATGCTGAAAGGCAAGTGGCAAGACTCTACAAGAAGAATGCCTCAAAAATGCTACTTTGTTCCCATTTCTACTGGCACCTATTCCCCAAGGTAAAAGGTCAGAATGACCAAAGCCAACTTAATAGTAGTGTGCAGAATGTCAGCTGACAAACAACATAAAAACAAGTCACGTTGTGTTATCTGTGGTCACGTTCTTCAGGGTTAGTCCAGTAACTCGACTTTACATTCTTCCGTCTTTATTTGTTTATTTTAATTAAACATGTAATGGTTAATAAACAGACATAATCCAGAGTTAGTAGGTTGGTATTATAACATTTATTAAAATAATGCTATGGGTTAATAGAAACAGCAAAGAACCAAAGAATTAAAATGCAAGCTATGTAAAAACCCAACTAAAACCCAAATATGTCTAATGTATTCATCCAGTAGCTAACTAAAAGCCCAAGAAAGACAACACTCCCAATATAATAAAGTACTGCAAAACAATTGGCAATTTTTCAGTTATCAAAATTGTGGGTTTTGCATTTTGTATCCTTTTTTCTCAATCAGGAAAAAAATTCTTTTGAATGTTATATAACATACATATAAAACAAGATAGAAAAATACATTATAAACTTGTAACAATGGCTGTAAATACATTATCTTACATGTTTCTCATAGGCAATAGGTTGGTTATGGTACATACATAGCATGAAACTACTAAGATAATAAAGAATAGACAAATACATGTCATCTGTACGGTTACATACAAGCGACACTCCCATCTACCCACTCTAAAAAAATTACATAATACTGTCAGAAAGAAGTCTTAAAACTACTTATTTTAATAAAGAAAAAGTCATTAAAGAATGATAATACTGAGAACCAAGGCATTCAGAGATTTCAAAAGTCATGCTTTTTTTTTAAGCTGATCCAAAATTTTGTCAACTAAGTTTTCAGAAGTTTGTTCAGAGCAAACATTACTTTCACATGTCACACATCTATTCCATACACTTCCCCTCCCCCCCCAAAAAAGACCTTTGATAAATGTCTAAAATGTCCAGGTTTTATCATAGTTGAGATGAAACTGGATCAAATACTGGTATTGTTTTAGCAAATCTCTCTTCAAATGTTCGAGTGTCGCAAGTTTATTCAACCAACCAACCAAAATAAAATCAAAATGGCACAGCATATACTGTAAATAAAATCAACACAACTGTATGTGTAACAGGAAGACAAAGCTGGTGGCACAATAAACAAAAATCTAGCTGAATATGAAAGGATGAATGTCTATTGCATAGTAAATAAACTGATAATTATTTCCAGGTGAGACAAGATGTTAGATGAGGTCACCATGCAGGTGCTTAAAAATGTAAGCCCTCTTAGCTTACTATTGACCTTTCATTTGGAAGCTGTGAAGATTTGCAGGAGGAGAATAAGTTGACAAGAGGGGAGTAAAATTATCACCTGATATTTGCCAAGTTTAGTACTGAGCCCCACAATGTAACACTTAATGTTTTCAGAATTAAATACTGTGCGTTCAACAGCTTCGGCTCTTGCAATTGCCCAGTTATCCGAACCTCATGTGGTAACAAGGGTTAAAAATAAGGTATAGCTGGACTTCAAAAAGTCCCTCTCCTGCTTATCTTTTCAAGAAAAGCCAATGGGCCAGATCTAACAATAGTCAAAGACGAGCTGAAAAGTAAAGCAACTTCCATGCTGTTTGCCACTGCAGGAGCTGTTCCTGGGAACTGGGGATGTGCTCAGTCACTGACTGAAATTCGCTAAGCACTTTCAGTTTCATTATCTGCAGAACATCCATTTTCTGGGTGATGCCAAAGCCTACTACAGTTGATGTAATATTTATTTCAACCAGAATCAAGAAAACTCCTCTCTATCCCTGAACAAAAATGACGTAACTTCCAGCTCTACAAACGTTTGGCAGCTAATAATCTCCTTTAGCATGAGACAGTCTGTATCACAGAACCCTTTGGTTTACGTTGCACAAGTACGGCATTTGCTATGATTTAAAAAGTAGAGTGGCTGAAATAATAATGGGCTGGTTTGATGAAAACTTAGCAAATACTTCACTTAATGAGATTTTGGCAAAGTCACATCACACTAGTATGGCAAAAATCAGGTAATTAATATGGTCAACTCATCATTTGTCTTCCCTCACAGCTTCTTTCACATACTGGGCGACTGAGTGGCATGCAGTAACTTGTCTGAGGGAGAAGCTGATTATACAAGACATTTGACTAAATGACCATGAAGAAAATAAGGCACTTCCTTTTCTTTAGACTTATTCCAATACTTAAAAAATAAAAAAGAAAGACTAAAAGGCTCTTTTGGTCTTTTGTTTCTTGACAACCACCAGAAAAAATCATTTAATGAAATAAAGGGTTTCTTTGTTCTTTTTTTCTTTTTTTATAACACTTGAAAGTATAAAATGCTACATTTCCAAAAATATATTTTTTTTCTGCACCAGCACCCTTGTATAGTAAAAGTATCTACTTTTTTGTTCATTTTGTTTCAATGCACTACACTTTATCTACATTTCATTACATGTATACAGCAAATAGGCAAGCATGGCTTTTACATCCTTAATGAAATTTTTTCTATACAGGGAGGTTTAAAAAAAATATTTGAACAGTTTGCCCAGTAATGTGACACATAATGCATGTACCTTGTTCTCATGTAATCTTCCAAGGAGATTAAAATATGGTTAAAACAATTTAAACTTGTATTTCGCTTTAATAGTGTTGCTGTTTTGTTCTCTGCATTAATGTAGTTCTGAAAAGTCATCGTAATCTGCATTTCATGGCACACTTTCCTTTAAAATGTCCAATTTGGCAGGCAATAGAAAAAAGGCTGCAACATCTGCCCTTTGAGGGCACTGGTAGTGACTAAACAGCATATCAAATTTTGAATACTTTTTGGAATCCCTTCCCCAATGACATCCCTGACCAAAGGTTCATGCATGATGCATCATCACACAGTACATTCAGAGAGAGCTTTGACTTTTTTTTTTTTTTTTTTTTTTTTTTCTGAGAAGAAAAATATTCCTAGAAGTCTCTCACAGTAACTGCCTCTGTCATCGGGTAGTTAAGGGACATCTGTCTCCATCTCGTGCGAGGCCTCCTTACCGTTCGCTTGGGGCGGGACACTAGAGGATGATCAGTGCGGAGGGATGAGTTGGACCTTATTGCTTTACTACTATTCAGTGCAGGTTCTAGAACCACTTTCACCCAAACAGGAGAACAACAAAAAGCGGAGTTGGAGGACAACAATTTCTTTGTCTGTTTTGTTAGATGGTAAGACGAACGGACAAGTGCCCCAGCTCGCTGCACTGAAGACAGGCAAGCAAAGGCGTTTACCAGTTAACTGATCAGCAGGCAGGCATGGTCAGGTCATCATTGGGTGAAGAGTTCAGAGGTCAGAAGGTCATAGGTTAGTTGCCGGTGGCGGCTGGGTGGTTAGAAACAAAAATAATAAAAAAAATAAAAAAATAAAAAAACAAAAACAAAAAAAAAGAAAGAAAAGATAGAGAAGAGATTAGTTCCAGCTAGTGACGGCTTAATGACAACATGAAAACTAATCACAACTAATAAAAAAAACAAGCATGTTTAATTCTGACATACTGATCGACACCATCTACAGAATGCAATAAAATCATGACAGCCCTCCATCATGATTTGGACACGTGAAGGAGAAGCCCACTCCCACAAAACCGGTTAACAGGAGAAATAGAGATAAAATATGACTAACGACTAATGGTTAGTAGCAGTCGATGAAGGAAAATTGGAAAACAAAAAACGATGAACAGTTTCTGAATTGGGTAGAAGATTTCTGGAACAACAGTCAGTGCACAGCATCAGTATCTGACTGCTATTAAGCATTAGTACCTCCCCAGGTGCAAGCATTAAAGCAACTATTAATGATGGATGTGATTATTAATAACTGGTTGTTAAAAGAATGGAGTCATCTAAGGAATTCTGGACTTAGAGAAACAATTTGGTTCAACAAACTATGGGCCAAACAAAGGGTTTTTGTTCAATAAATTTTTTATTGCCTTTCATTTATTCTATTTACAAACAACATGGAATTTCTTGGCCTCATGATACAAAGCAGTACTATAAACTGTAGTCTAGCAACGTAGGCATCATCGTGGAAACCAGGAAAACGCTCAGCCTGCTACTATAGCTAGCATTTTCCCGTTCGAAATACTATTTTACACATATAGGACACTTATAAAATGCACTTGCATGTAAACACTGTAGAAGTCCTGCCATTTTAAAGTCTATACTTAAAAAGCTCTAAGTACATGAAAAAATAGAGAAAATATCTAATTGATACTAATAAGGCATTTTAAAACTACAAACAGCTCTCTTTATTCATTTTCAAAGCTAATACTCTGCAAATACAATAAAATCTGACATTTCATATACATTCCTGCTTTATATTTTTATATTTTAAAAGAAGCCACCTGTAAATACTATTTTCTTTTGCAAAAAAAAGGAAAAAAGAAAAAAACAACAAAACGAACAAAAAAATAAAACCCAAAACCACAAACAAATTACAGTAAAACATAAAAAAGTTCTCAAGTGGAAAGTTATCATTCCCAATGTTCTTGAGCTATTCCTTCTTTAATCATTCTCTCGCATTCTCCTTCACCAAACTTGGTCCACTTAACAGTAGTATAATTTTTTTTATTTTTTTTAAGACTCATTCAACAGCTTAATTAGAGCTAATAAATTCTGAGGTTGATAAAAGTTTCTGTACTGTTGCCATTTTGACTAAGGCAGAGGAGATGAAAGTGAGAAAGGTATTCAGTGCAAAGTCAGATTTGTGCCATTACATAAATGAAGTCCAGTAGATGTAATATTCACAGATACCATCGATTTAACAATCTTTCTTGTGGGTTCATTTACTTTCACATAATAAAAGTGGCCTATCATTTAGGATACAGTTCATAACACTACAAAAAATTACTACTGTAACATAAATGAGACCAAACGCTCCCTGAATTTTTTTTCAGAATCATGCTAAGTGGGATTTGTTTAAATTATAACAACTGTTTCAAAAAGAAGAAAAGATAAAAATAAATATTTTATGTGGCACAATCTTACCACTTTACAGGTATACTAGAAACAGACTCTTAAAGCATTTTGATACTCATTACAAATTCGATTAAAAGGTATTAAAATTTATATATAAATTATGTGAAAATTGGTTTGAATAAAACATTTGAGAAAATTCTCAGCATTAATATTTCTTGTGGAGTTTAAAATCAAAGCAAGCTACCTTTAAAAAAATACCAGGACACCTGTGATACATCCTCTGCCAAGTCTCTGGCCTTCTACAGTACACACAGGTTTGTCAACTGTGCAACACCATTTACAGTTTATTACAATTAAATCAGTCAGTCTCTCTGTTATATGAATCAAATTCAATTTTGTATTATTTATAAACTGGGGGTTTATTCTGAGTTAAAATGAGCTATATTTTCCAACCCTTCACCAATTCTACATGCTTAGTTGTAAAACATTTACACATTTGGGGATTCTTGCTTTAAATGCAGTGCTTATCTCTGGAAAAACAACCCAAACCCAACAAAAAATTAAAAATTATGCAAAGAATAAAAACTACATAAAAAGTGAATGCAGTAGTACTACAAAATCATCTGAATCAATTTAGAATTTAAAAAAAAACCAAAAACCACCAACTTTAGACCCGATGAATGCAAAGATAGATTTAGTGACACTTAACTACGTAAGAAAAAAATTCCACATGAAAAAAATAGTATTTCGGTTTGCTGACATTGCTTTTTGTCGCCATGGCTATAGAAATATTCTGGTGACAGAATAGCCAAATAGGTGACTATGGCAAATACTGAAAGTATTTCAATTCTACAATATAATTTTAGTACATTAAAAAATTTTTAATGCTGAACAAAGTTGTCACCAAAACCTTTTGTGTGAGACTTTTAGATATGTGCAGGGATAACCCAGGATTTAAAATTCAAAATACAGTGGAGTTCAGTTGTAAAATTAACTGGGATTATTTAGATAAGACTTTAAGATAATGTTTTCCTGAAATATCAGCATGGTTTTCCTAAGAGAGAGGTATGCATGATTTATTCCACAGGAAAAAGATGTGTATTTATTTATCTACTTAAGACAGTGGGTTTCCTATATTGTTAGAAATGAATGCTGGTTTATCATAAAATGGCTGTATTTTAAAAGAGGGGGAAATTATGCCAATAATTAATTTAAATAACTTTAAAGTAACCCAGATGAAACATCTAGGCCCTTCCAAAAATATTTAAAATCCATGTTGAGCAAATATTACAATGATAAACTACAAAATGGTATTTTCTCCATGAAAACACCCCTATCCCCACTTTATCAGTGTATTTACTAGTTGTCTCAGGTAAATATCTAATTGCTAAAAAGGTAGCCATATCTGTCACCTGAAACTATCATTGCAGATAATGAAGCATCATTATCAAAAAACTGTTTTTTGCAACATCAGGTCAAATTTTCAAAGACAACCAAATCCTTATCACTAATTTCTCTTGACTGAGATAGAAAAATAAAAAAAAGGAAATATTAAAACCTATTTTCTTTTTTACTCTCTTTTGTTTTCTTTTTGGAAACATGGGCTGTGACATTTAACTGATTATATTCTGCTGCCCCATTGAAGAGTTCTCAAGAAATGAGAACAAGCCAATGGGCTGCAAGTAGTGGGCAGTGATATAAAACAATGTTACAGAAAATTAAAATAGTGTCCTGTATCAGCTTTATGCTTTCTGTAAAGCCTAAGATTATATCAAAGATAAAAATGTTGCATAAATATACCAAATATCCAGGAAGGCCCCATTTACAGTATTGACCAGAATCTGTATTCTCTCTTGTAGTTAATTTATGGAAGGTTGTGAGAAGTGTGGTCAATGCTAGGAGATGTCAGATCTGTCACTGGAATTTGGCTTTTGAATATTACAATATAATGGAAATCTGCACAAGACTGATTTGGGTGAGAGCAGAATAATAATACTTGGCACAAAATGCTTTGCATCCTCAAAGCCCTGTACAAAACAAGAACCCCCACAACACCCCTGTGAGGTAGGGAAGTATTATTATCCTTATTTGACCAATGGGAAACCATACACAGAGAGATTAAATGACTTGCTGAAAACCACAGTGAATCAGCAGCAGGGATGGGATAAGAAGTCATCCCCCATACTGCTTCCTAGCCAATGTCAATAAACCGAAAATATCAGTTTTCTCAATTAGCTTAAACACTTCATTCAGGGGTCCAAAGGCATGACACTTGAGTAACAGGAGAAAAATGAAGATTTACTTTCCATTCAAAGGTTAAAGAGAGATGCCCAAATATTGGATGTCATCTCACCAACAGGTCTTCAAAAGTTGTTTCTCCTTCAGATTACACATTTTAGCAGCAAAAGGCAAATACCAAGAAATAGATTTTGGAAAAAAACCCCAAAACCAAACAAAAAACAAAACAACCAAAGCACCCTCCCTTCCCCTATCCATACTAATTCAAACTCAAACAACTTTTGAAGTTATCTTCACAGCCCTTACCTTTCTGAATTCAGTTAGGTATCTGAGAACATGCATCCTCCTCATAATATACAGTACAGTGGCTCAAAAGTTTATTGGAAAAAAAAAGGAATCTAAATCTTCAGATTTCTCCAAACACAGACAGGAGGCATTTATTCCTTTACTTCTTTCTCATTAAGCAACCATCCATTCATTTTGTTTTGCAACACCAATCTGATATTTCCACGCCAATTAAAAGAATGAATTGGGGGCAGGGGGGGAAGAGGGGAACACAACCAAATTAATTATTGCAGCACTGATTTCATAGCGTTTCCTGATGCAGATAGATGTTTCATTTTTAAAACTCAATCAGTTATAGAATTTCTGTTAAATATATCAAATTATATCTATTTAATTGAGCTGGGAAGGCCAAGTTTAGAAATTTTTTTAAAAACTGCAAGCATTCCCAAAGCTTTAAAATATTAACTTTCCAGGTTTTTGAGAAAAATCATGAATGGGTCAAGACCGGGTATTTGGTTAACCAGCTGTGGTGTTGCAAATCTCATGTACACTCAAAGCACTTCTTACAAACAAGAACTGCAGAACTAAACTAACCTCGGTCTGCGGTCACAATCCTTTGGTAAGGATGGACACGCATATCGTGCCTTCGAACTTTAGTAGCCACCGCACCTAGTTAAATTGCAATTACCAAGACAAAGTTAGAAAACATTCACAGAAAACATTAACAGCAGGTTTATCAAAATGGATTTAAATGATCATTAACTACAAAAGTTCATTTTAAGAAAAGCAACAAGTTAAGGCACAGTAGTTTCAAATCTTAATCTTAAAAAGAAGTTTATCTGTGCAGATTAATATTGCATTTATTTTAAACATCCTGGCCTTAACCTGTTTAATCCATTCATTTACAATCCCAAAATTACAGTATTTCATGAAATCTATTAGACCCAAGCACATTTAAGCTTTACTAGTCACATATTCACTGAAGTGCCTTTCTTGCAGCAGGACTATTTTAAATAATGCCATCTTTAATACTGACAATTATTTGCTAACCTTAAGATCACTTCCAGTTCTACCACAAAAAAAAGTTTTAAAGCAATTCTTCAAGCCTACAGATTGTGATTTTAAACTTTAAGTCAATAAGTATGAACTGCAATGAATTAGGTGATTAGTAAAGCAAACACTATATAGAACACTTAGCAGTCAGTATACTACTATACACTCATAAATTACAGCTACTCTGTAATAATAGGACCTAATCCAAATTAATAGCACTATTTTATTTTAAATCTATGTGCAAAAAAGTGCAAGTAAGTCACTGACTGCTAGGCCAAGCTTTTTTCAAGGCTGCTGAAAACTAAGCATTTGTTAAAATTCAGATCTGATGAAGGATCAGTTAAGACCGTTCTTGAATTCTTAGCCTTTCGTTGGGAAAGCCATACCTGAAGATAAAAGGAAGGGAATTGAAAGTTAGTCACCAACTAAAATTTGATCTCAACACCAACATCCCCAAAAATACTGACAGGGATGCATTTCTCTGCCATTTTTAACAGAATTATTTTAAAACATCTTCAAGGTCCACCACACAAATGGACAAAATACTATTAATGAGAATGAGCATAGAACAAAATAAAACTCAACGAAATCCAAATTTAATGCAATTAACTCTATACAATTGCTCAGATAATAGAGCAAATGTATTAAGAGTTATAGATTCTAGGCAGCTAAAGGGGAGTGTGGTTTTTTTTTCCCCTGCTCCCTTTTCCTTCTTTAAGTAACATTTTCTGATGAGGTCTGTTTTGGGCAATACACCTCACACAGTTGGGCCTGAGAGTATACAGTAGTTTCAGATGCCATTTTAGAAGTAATTTTAATTTTTCCCTCATATCTCTTTATAGAAAGTCCTGCGAGAAATCCAAGTTCCCTGCATTGTAATAAAGTGCACTCTGGAATGCTGTATTTCTTTACTTGCTATTAACTAAATTCAGGAGAGGGGCTTGCCACTAACCACTAACAGCTACTTTGATGAACTCTTTGTGACTTTACCCCACATGTACCACAACTGGACTCTACTGGGAGTAGAGGAGCTAGGAAGAATATTTACATGTTTGTGGGAAATTAATAAACAATAATGCTATCATATGATTGCAGAATTTTGGCAATGGGTTAACTGACAACAACCATAAGCTGACAGACGTACTGCATACTTTTGTCTTACTAGAATTTTTGTTATTGATTCACTAATCCTGCAAGACAGAAGTCTGAAATACATTTTCTTTTTTACTGTACATAATGTGGAAACATGCACACATACAGATAACTCACCAAGTATTTGTCATGTGAAACACTGATTTTTTTGCAATACTTTCAACAAAATATTGACTTTGAACCTTATTGTCCAGTGTTCATTAGAGATGTTTAGAATTCGTGTAAATCAATAACTGCCACTGAACAAACTAAGATCAAAGTCCTATAAAATCAACATTATGCAGGACCAAGGTCATATGCAATTCAGAACAAACTGAAGAGAAAGATTATTTAGATTCTGGAGAGGGTAGGGAAGGAAGAAACTATTGGAACTGCTTGTTCCATATTGGCCAGTTAACTGAATTGTCACGGCCGCTTTATCATTCTTGCCTTCACACACCAAGTCAGTGGTCTGAAATATTAGGAATGATGGACATTTCAATGCAACGTATATAAAAGAAGCCATCAGTAAAGTTGCTAATTTTATTTTATTTTGGTGAGAACTTGGTTTGCTTTATATTCATTCACTGAAATAATTTTCTGCTCACAATATAATTTAGCGCTTTCTGACACTGAAGAGAGATTTATCAGCTGCGTACTAAATAAACAAAAAATCCAATTGAACAAAGACTTCTCCATTCCCTCCAGTTTTGCTAGCTAATACGATATAGCAAAATGAGAAGCCCTCTCTTCCAAAAATTGCTGGATGTTAATTTATGTTAAAGAGAATACAAACTGATCTGTTATTCATGGGACCCCAGGTAACATGTAATAGACCTCAACTTGTATTTAGCTTCTTTCCCCCTTGCCTATGTATGGGCAACTTGTATTTAGGTTTCTCCCCCTTGCCATCTAATATCATACAAACATGAAGACATTTATTTTTGGTAAATTTATGAATATAAACTAAGCACACACATTCAGGAATGCCAAACACATTTAAAATGTTTAAGAGCTGCACCACTCGAGCAGCTCACCTGGGCGGCTTTGATATACCTGAAATAAGTTTGTTGCTTCAGATTTTTTTTCTTTGAGCTCCATGAACCTCAACCTTGCAAACACAACAGAAGCACAAGCAACACATTCTGCAGCCATCCACGCACAAAGGTCTTACCTAATACACCACTAGGTTCAATAGGGTACTCAAGGATTGATGTAGCTGGTGCCAGTGTGTAGGGGTACTCGTATGGTGTGTAAATTAAACCGGCCTCGGGTCCGGGTGGAACTATTGCAGCGGTGGGATGAGGAGTTCCGTTTGGCATGACAGCGGTTTGTATTTGTCTGATCAAAGGCATTATGGTAGGGCCAGCTGGCGTAGGAGTACGCAGGGCAGCTGGTGGGAGAACAGGCGCAGGCCCAGTAATAATCCTTGGAGCCTGGGCTGTTGCTGCAAGAGAAAAGGCAAGGGCTGCTACAGTAAGCAAAGAAATTCAGAGGAAAGTATGGAGATAGCAGTACAAAACGTGGAAAGAATGGGAAAAAAGGGAAAAAGTAGGAAAGAAGAAAAATAAAAGGAAATCATTAGTACATGCGCTGATCACACAGTGCCAAAGCACACCATTCAAATGCAAACAGCTTTCCATTTTCCAGTGTGATTAAGTATGATCATGCAAAATAAAAAAGCCATTGTAAAACAGTGAGGTAGATTTCTCAAACAGGTTACACAGCACGAAAGCTCCATTTAGACCACATTTCTTCATTTATGCTATCAAGACTGCATGAGACTGAGATGCATGCAGGAAATACAAGGAAAATACTATCACAATCAAATACAGAGTACAAAATTTAGTGCATCTATAGAGTCCACAGACACTCAGTTATGCAGAGCTGCTGTATGAGTCTAGAGTTTTTATGTGTCTTAAAATTGTATTTAAACATATACACAATTCCCATTTCCAGGATCAGTGAAGCTGAAGGTGACCTAGAAACATGAATTGGTCCTGTCCTACCATAACATGAATAAAATAGGCTCAAATTTTATTTCCATATAAAATTTTCACCAAGTTACATACTTCCTTTGTATTAGAAGTTCACCATCGCCTTGCTTATGCTAAAGAAAATAGGTGGTTTTTATGTATTGGTTTGGTTTTTTGTTTGTTTGTGGTGGTCTTGTTTGTTTTCTGAAGTGGTGCTAGCACGTTCAATTAAGTGTTATTTGAAGCCTGTTGGCACACCAGATGAACAACTTAAGCACTACATATCTGCTGGTAACAGTCAATCTTAAAGGGTTATAATTTATGCATTTCTATGCACTACTGTCGATCTACATGGATTTAATTAACTTAGAGGTGGGCCTGAAAAGAGAAATGTGGCAAAGTTTTTTCAGATTTGACACTGGTGAATATCTAAAATTATTTTTGTTTTTTAAACAAAAATGCTCAGATAATATAAAAGTAGTACTCAAATATTTATACTTCCTTTCTTAAACAGAAATAAACCAGTACAGCTTCTACATCTTCAACTTTTCAGTAAAATGCAAACACAAAGGCTGAAATTGTCTTATCAAATAATGAGTATTAGTGTGGCAATCTCCAGTCAAAAAATAAATAAAAAATTCCATCTTCCCACTTACACTGATGCAATAGACCAATGGGAACAGACCAGAAAAAGAAATTGCTCAAATTATTAAAAACATTTCTGTGCAAAAGTTTGCATAAATTTAAGCTATTCTGAAAGCTATTTTAATCATAACTTTGCAATAATTTAGAGACTACCATATATTTATAACTGATCTAGCTTTAAATATCATAGTGTTCATTAGGGCTGAAAGACTTACCATTACCATTGTAGTTGTAAAAGCCCTTGCTTATGTCCCTTTTCAAATCAGAATAATTACACTGGTGTAAGCACTCTCAAATTGACCTAACTGCATTCCAACCTTTAAACATAATCAACACTGAAATGGGGACTGTGTGGAGAAACAAATTTGCAAATATCAGTAGGTCCTTAGTGAAAAGACTGATTTAACTGTGCTTACATTTGACATCTGTATCACAGCTACAGCAAAAATGTACTTTTGAACAGAGTCAGCAACTATATTTTCGGGAGGAGAAATTAGATTTTCAACTGAAGAAAATAATCTGTATCACACATAATAGGTGTATGCTTTCATTAGTAGGTGCGTGTAATTAATTTTCAAGTATAAACTTGTGCACACATGCGTTTGCAAAAGCATTTTCACACAAATGTAATGGAAGTAATCGTAAAAATGGCTCATTACATCACTGATCCGTGTGAACTCAGCTGTGAAATCAGTTGATGAATTGTTGGTAAAACATAACATTGGGGGTATGCATGCAAGCAAGATGAAAGGAAGGAATATAATACAGAAAAATGTATTCAGAGCATCCTGAACATCTGTAACATTTTAAAATTAAATCCCTAAAAATAAAAATGCAATGGAGTCTACTGTCCTTTATATGCTTTAAGGAAAAAATGACTGTCAAATAGAAAAATCTGGCTTAAGGGTTGAGGTTTACGTATTAGTAAATATTTACATATTAGTAAATATTTCAACCCATGCATACTGTTAAAAAAATAATGGGGACAAGAAACAAGCTAAAAAACCCCGTGAATGGACATAACTTATCCCCCAAAAATCTTTTGCAACAGCTACCTACAGTTTTGTTGGGTTCTTACTGCCTTCCATTCTCCAACATAAGTTGCCACTGTACATTTTCCAAAGATAGCTTGAACATTCAAAGCCTGCAAACACTTCTATGGCATTGACCCTTGAGCTCATGACATGCTTACGTGATTTGATGTTGGCATCTCTGTAGGTGCCATTCAGAATTGCAAGCTCCATCAGCTGCATCTTTTTAAGGCTGTCTTCTCCTTCTGCCTGCGTATGAAAAAATGGGAAGGAAGTCAGGATTATGAACTCACTAGTGCACATGATCTAAGTGACCTAGAATAAAATTGTTCAAGTTCTAACCAAGCAAAATACCTGTTTACCATTAGTTACAAAAGCAGCAAGCTTTGTCAACTTTTCCATATAATTAAGTGGAAGTTGCCAGTTGACTATCATTAATACTTGTTAACAAATATCTTCAAAGAGTTTTGGAAAAGGTTCATAACACAAATTATAAAAATTAAGGATTAAAGGTAAATTGCATTTGGAAGAAATCACTTAAAGAATATTTTTCTCAAGTACATTTTCACGTACTCCTAAAGGTATCTTTAAAAAAATTGTGCTATTGGGCCATAGGATGAATAGCCATCACAAATTTTAAGCACTGCAGTTTATTGTAATTTGCTCCATTACAGTCAATACTGACTACTGGGGGGGGGGGGGGTGGGGCAAACAAAAAAATAAACAACAATCTTTGAGTAGCTTTCCAGACAGGATATTGACAACTGCCCTGAGGCTGAATTCCTTATTATGGCACATGTAGATGTATTCTGATGAGAATATTACTACTATTTACACAGCACACACTACTCTTGGTTTTGCTTCAATTAAAACTACTTCCCTGAAGTTACCTACTCCATTGATATTGTGCAGGTTGCATAAATATTAAGTAGCATTCAGTAGAACAATGCTCACTTTTTCAGTTGGTAATTAAAACACTTCTAACATATATTGTAATATATAATAGTATAATTTCATTTTTAAGACGAGAGATTTTCTGGTCTTTCCAAAAACACTACTATTTGTTGAGTCTACACTCTATCGAACAGCAAATGTGATTATGATAGAGAAAATCCAAGAGGGATGGTCAATGTCTCCTTTAATGTCAGGTTACCACCTTGCCTCCTGTATGGAATGCCACTGCTGAAATTCTTAAGTCAGATGCATAGAAGGGCAGCTTTCCCATGAACTGCAATGCATTCTTCCTTTGCTAAACTGGATTTCTTACATTTTTACTTCTCGAATCACACAATATTTTCCAGGTATTTGGAACAGTATTTTCCAAGTTAATGAGCTTGTTATAGATACTTTACTCCCAAACTGTGGATTAGTAATTTACTTAAGTCCAAGATAAAAACAGTTTTCATATTTTATCTAAGCAAATCTAGTACTTATTGTGAGGTACACTCAAGGGTCACGACCCCTTGCGAAGGGAACTTTTAGCAGCTGATTTTTATCAACAACTCAAAATCAACATGGTAAGATGAGTCAACACTGAATTCCTTTCAAATGTCAGAAATTGAAAGTCCCAACTGTAATACTGGGGACTTGCATAAACACCAGGATTATCACACAGTAAACATTCAGAATATACTGAAAGTTAGACGTTTTCTTTGTATGTTAAATATTGTATGACAGGGCAAGCTGACACTAATACTAAAAAAGGAAATACACATTCAATTACCATCTTAACTAGAAATTAATTGTACATTTAAGTACCATACCATGAAGAAATGTCAGACTCCATAGTCCCATAGGCCCTTTGGAATACAAAATGTGCCGATTCTAGCAATCTTAATATGACACAGAACAGATTTATAATTTACATGCAAAATAATATTATCTTCTTTTTAAAATAAACTATTTTTCCATTGCATCTTTGCTGGTAAATTACCTAGGCAATCATGACACAATAAAACCAATTCCAAATCCATTTCCCTATCCAGAGCTCACAAATTCTCATAATTCTGGATATACCTTATCGACGTTCTTCTAGCAATAAAGATTTTTTTTAACACATTGATTAATCTTTTCCCCTCCCCCCTAAGTTGTACTTTCTTATTTGCTTTTTGTTGCATTCATGTATTTATTTATTTGAAAGTGTGTAACAAGAAAACCTCCTCACAATGTCAGCTGCATCTCCCATATAGTTCCATTACTGTTACTAAAATTGCACACTTCCTCCAAACAAGACCTTCAGGAGATTGATCTACGCCATTAATGACTTTCAGTAAATGCTGAATATTACACTCCACTTGCTAGGATAATTTTAGTAACCCTAATCCCAGATTTTGCACCACAGTGAATATTTCCCAATATAACTATTTATAGGAAAATAATTTTAAGACAGAAAATATTTTTACCCTTTTGATATGGTCAGAAGAAGGAGATATAAGTCCAAGTAATCATTCTGACTTTAACATTTTCCTATAGGTCACTACTGCTTTCTATTAGAAGAGATGTTGCAATTACCAGGCTTTATGAAGTTTATTTATGGAAGTAACAGTGGACTTAAACAAAGAAGACTAAGTCCTTAACTTTATTCTTGAGATTTACTTTTCTAGACTATGCTCAGCAGTTGATAAACTTTTCTTCTTTTAAACAAAACCCAAAATACAGCTTAAAATGTCCCTTTAACAACTGTATCAGTAAAAAAAATCAGAGATGGAAGAAGTGGACTTGCATTACCAGACATTAACACTAACTTCCGGTGCTTTAATTTTTGAAGCATTTACTAGATACAAAAACCCCGCAACTCCGACAAAAAATCCATTCCACCACTTTGAAAAACACGTGTAACGCTGACCACAAGGTCATGGTTCCGGCTCCTCCCAGAAGATGGCACTGTTTGTTGCACAATGCCACCTCTGCAGGACACTGGTGTGCAGCACTGCCGGCACCACCCACCCTAGCAGTGCTGCCCAAAATCCTGCCAGCCCCTCGCACCCTGCCCTTGGAACAGTCACTTGCCACCTCTCCTCATGGCGAAGTCACAGAAGCGCCCATGACCCTCTGGGACACACTGTTGTGTCCTTCCCTCTCTGGTACCAAGCCCTCCACTTGCACATCCTTCACCAATAGCCAGCCCCTCAAACTTCCAAGAGCTGCATCAGAGCAAGGGGCACGTGTTTTTCCCTGCCCTATCCTCTCACTTCTTTGCTGACAGATGATCAAATGAGGCACACGAGAGCTATCTTAGCTCCAGGCATTCCTGCAGGCACTCTCTGTTAAAGCAAAGAGAGGTTGCAGCAGGGATACAAAGGCAATCTCTGAAGGGACAGTACATTACCTGTACAATAGCTGCAACAAAGCTCAGTCATTTGTACCAAAAGGAAGCTACTTTGAGCAAACATCAATAAGGTCACTTAAAACCAGATTTGCATTACTAAGTTGAAGCTCAAGTGATTGACTCAAACCTCTCATCCTCTTAAATCCCCAGTGCTTTCCTTGTATTTATCATCTACAATATAACATGCAGATTAAAAAAAAAAGCCTTAAATGGTATCTTGAAACATAATTCTTTAAATGTAAGCAACTACTTGCAAATGCTCACTAAATACAAATACAGAAGAGATGGGAGCAGTAAATCCTAACAAAGCCAACTGTGCACAGACACCACTGGGTGCTGCTCTGTGAACACAAAGCCTCAAACTCCTCACAGTAGCTCAACTCTACCTGGGCTAGCAATAAACACACCTAAAGGAGACCAAATGCCAGTGAGGACTATCATTTTAAGTAACTTGCTTTCTAATCTTTCTCAGTGTAGGATTAGAGTTGCAAGGCACAAAACACAAAAAGTGCCACCTACATCAAGTCTCTGGGAAACACTTCCTAAAAACACAATTTCAAACTAAAGACAGTGCTAACCATACAAATGGCCAGTTAAAACCACAATTTTCTTCCCTATTTTGGGAAATACTGACAGTTTCACAAAAAAAGAATGCAGTTAATTATACAACTGCTATTAGTAAGAGCTTGTTTCGTGTCATGAAATGGGGAGCTTAGATAAAACACTCCAATGAATTCTTTTTATTATCAATGTCCAAGCTATACTTCAACCTCAGATGTCCCAAGACCTCCAGAAAATCCTTTACCTTTAGGTACTGAAATGCCTCTGATTCTCATGTGCATGCAGCACCCTGAGGAGTATCATACACTTTATCTTCTTATTTATACACAAAACATACATACACTAGATACATTTGTTATCCAGGTGGAAGACAGACAGGCATGCAGACTCCAAAGGTAAATGCCTTCATTGTGCAATGTCAATGAAGGACTTCAGCAGATGACAACAGTTTTCAGAGGTGAAAGGTGGACTGTTAGATTCTGTCAACTCTGAGAAGCCTGTAACAAATTACAGCAGAGAAGGAAACAAAGATAGTATTTAAAAGAAGGATCAAGTAGCAGTGTTTAGGACAGAGCAGAGATCCATAAATTAGACCTATAGAGACAGCCAGTGGCAACACTGCCCTGCCATACTGCTGCCAGGCCCAAAAGGAGCATCACTGCAGCTCAGGTGATTCAGAAACCAAACCATCCACTCACTTATGTCATAGCTGGGATACCTCATTCTGACCAAGCTTCTTAAGCCTCACAGTCTCACATACAAGTCTCAAAACGCTCTCTGATTTTCATTATTACCAGGGCTGGAAGGGAAGGCTTTCAACACATCTCTACAAACATAGGTGCTTTGCCCATATAATGCTCCATTTTATTTTAGAGTAACTGCTTTGGAAAATATAACAGATATACTTCTTTCTCCCTACATTCACAACAAATAGATCCTCATATTCAGGTGATGTCAGTGACTTTCACTGACAGTCTAGCTTCCAGATGTCATGCATTTTGGATCAAACTTTTGCAATCCTGTCACATCCCGGTACTTCAGCTGGATTCTCATGAACTGAAGTGAGTCCAGCCCTAGGAAAGGCAGCAGACAGTTTTATTATTTGGATAAAATGCAGCAAAGTCTGGCTTTGGGGACCAGTTCTTTATAAGCTTTTCCAGAGCTGTCCTTTCAGGCTCAGAGCAGGAGCAGCAAGTGGGAAGGGAAAAGGGTGGCAAAGCAAAACAACAGCCAGATCAGCCAGGAACACAAGGGCCAAAAACCAGTCTCCATCTTCCCTAGCAAGTGCAGCAGGCCTGTCCCACCAGGCTCATGGAAAGAACGACCAGGGGCCTCAGCAGCATGACAGCACCAAAGAGCA